ATTATGGTTTGATTATTATAACATAACCAAAGTAAAGCGCGCGCTCTGATTGGTCAATTTAGCGTCCCCCATTTGCCCATGGGTGTACGCTGCTGACGTGAGCAAATGCAAAGACTATTTTCCGCGCGCGCTTGTTTTTTCTGGTCACGTAAGATTTGTTAAATAAAAGGGAACTCTTTAGCTACAATGTATCAATGTTATGTTATAAAACAAATGGTAAACACCACACCGTACACTATTGAGTTATGGATGCACTTGGGAGGTTGCTAAGCACTCAAGAAGCTAGAGTCACTCTCGGCTATCGCCTCGAGCGACTCTTACGCTTCTTTCGTGCTTAGCAACCTCCCGCGTGCACCATAACTCAATAGTGTACGCTGTGGTGTTTACCATTTGTTAATTAGCGCGATGCTACATAAATTATGCATGCCGCACTCAACTGACACAGCTACATAAAGAACAGAGGAGCTCCAGTCTGCGATATTTTTCAGGGAAGAGATCATTTCGCTCAGGTGTGGCACAGAAACACACAGGATGAACAAGATCTCAGATCTGTGGTTTTTTTAATCGTAGGCCTCAACAGAACCTTCAGTTTTTGAAGGAATAATACACTGATAGTTGTTTCGCTTTTGAACCACTCAGAACCCAAAACCTCAATTGGTGGACCATGCTTGGTCGCTTCAATAAATGTTTGTGAACAATTTAAAACTTTTTGATCCATTTTATGACCTGATCACATAAACACTTACTAAAGAAACTCCAAAAATGGAATGTATCATAACTGCTAGCATTTTACCATTTTACACATCACCAAGACGCTGTTTCGTGGTTAAAAGTGATTTTAAGATTATGAGATTTTTGTGACATTCGGCTAGCACTGGCCCTCAGGAGAAATCTAAAACAATAGGCTGATTTATTTGCAGCCACTTCAAAACTGGCTAGTTGAGAAATTGCTCCATTTGAGGAAAGACTTTGAAAACAGGTGTTTGAAAATTCTAAATCTCTTTGTTCCACAAAATTGTAGCAGCAGGTTGTACAACGTTTGTGATTTCAGTTTCAAGGAACAGAATTCCTTTACAAGAGATCCGCAAGAGATGTTTTGAATACACATTGCTTCTGACTCACAACGCGAGTTGACAAAAGGCAGCAGGTTGTTGTATTCTATCATGATCGGCTAGTGACGATCATGATAAGATACTTCGATTTTCCTTACGTATCGATTACAAAGCGAGACTGGACTTGATGAAAAATAAAACTGGACTGAATTTTACTCTAAATAGGAATCACTTTTTCACAGCAAGTATAAAAAGACACGCACATCTTTTCATTTATTTCCTCAGCTGTGGAACGGGTGGGTCTATTAACGAAAAAATGAAGGAAGCCGATTGAAAGAAACGCCCCCGTAATATAAGATGACTGACCTCATCTGAAAGGAAGTGTGTTTCTCTAAAACTGGCTTTTTTTAAGGCATGGAAACCACCATAAAAAGCTAACCTAGGTCAAATGTCTCAAAAACGAAGAAAATTCATTGGACTTGACCGGTACAAACCGACCGACCCAGTTTAGAAATTGCAATGAACATTGTCACCTTGAAATACTTGTGATCTGGTCGATGCTTAGCTTACGGAACAATAACTTCTGCTGAGTTTTTCAAAGACGAGATCTTTAAAGTTCCTAAATAGTCAATAAAAATAAATTTGCAGAAAGTTAAGTGATGATCACGTTTCAAATTTTTGGTAATAAAATATTCGATCTTTGAAACGTGGTTAATAATTACAATTCATAAGGACAAAATACTACCTGTGTAATGATTAATAAATTATGTAGGGCGACGGTTCATATAGTTACTCCCCGAAGCTTTCCGGAAATTTTCACTGAATAACCTTTGCAGGTGACGGTCAAGGAGCAACCACATATCCTAAGGTGAAACATAATCAATTTTCTCTTAGGTCATCTATGAAATTTATTTATGGTGTGGGTTTTGTATTCATTTCGATCCTGTTTCGTCGCGTTAGAAAATCTTAACGTACGAGTATTGGTACAAGCTATCAAATTTCTTGTTTTCAAATCTTTAAACCAAACTTGCATTTTACTTCAAGTACAAGATGAAGATTTGAAATATCCTTCTAAAACTTGCCAATTAAGTCTGAGGAAGACAATAAGAAGAGAGGAAGGCAGTTTTCTTTAACGTATTTTCCTAAGCTATTTCCAATCGGCTTTTACAGGTAATCATGAAGGGATACCTACTGTTAATCGCTTGCCTATTGGCCCTGGCACTGATCCGCGTTGAGGGAAAATCTATGGTGAAACAGAAAGAGAAATCGAGCGACAGGGAAAAGGAAATAGAAGGAGACAGTGAAGAAAAGGAAGTAGCAGATCCCTCTGAGTCTGGAAGTGGTTCGGGTAAATACCTATACTGTTACAATTCTAGAGTTTATTTTGCTCCTCGTCACATTTGTGCTTGTTGGTTGATTGCAAATGTTTAACCAGCTCGTTAGCTATCGCTGACTAAGCAAAAATTCGATTAAGACTTGAGGTGAAGGAGAAGTAAGTTAAGCGGATGATCTTTTAAGGGTGACCAAGTTGTTTTTTGTTGTAATCAATGTTACTCATGTGGAAACAAAGACATGCTACAAACAACATATTCGTCCAGGAAAAAGTAACAAAATAGGCACAGAAATAAAAGTCAGCCCCAGAACGATAGCATCATTTAGAACATTTTCTATGAGTCATCTAGAATCTATTTCTGCAAATCGATTTTCGGCTGGATTTTTAAGAAATCAGTGAGCGATGAATCAGCCAACGCGATCGAATTTACGTCTTGCTGGTGGTGAAATCAAAGAAATAGCTGGTGTGGGAATTGTTAAAAAGTTGCTTCGCCACAGGGGAATGGAATTACAAATACCTACAGCTTTTGAAAAAAGTGCTACACCAATTATATACTAAACCTCGTATCGCGTTTTCACTTTTTATTTTTTCACTTCATGGTATGCCACCGTTGAACCATTGCTGAGTAAGACCCGCTGATTAGGCTTGTGGGATGTTTGGTTGTACGTAGCGATTGCACTGTATCATATGTTCAATGTCTTAGTTTTTTTTCCTACCCTCGAGTATCAATGCTTGGTGAGATATACAGCCAGGAAACTTTTTACAGATATCTTCAAAAAAGAAAAAACAGCGTTATATTATATGAAACAAACTTATAAAGAAATTTTTAGTAGATATTATTATACATTTTGTCTATACCAGGACGGGTGGAGAAAATTGCAATTATGTCACAGTAATCGTCATCACATTTACTCTCAAATACCTGCAACAGATCCACTCTTAAAATGAATAACATATGATTAAGTTTATCCACACAAAACCTCTGTTTATTCAGGGTACGACCCTACCCCCCTCCACTGCCCAAATGAAATAAAGAGCTTTCACCCTCCCAGCAAAAATACAGGTTATTCAGTTAGTAAGTAGGTAGGCTCAGAAGGTGAAGAGAATTTTTTTGCAATTGGATTTAAGTTAAAAGTTAAAAAGAGATTTAAAGCCTGAAAATATTGCTACGTCCACTTGATGTAGTTGGTTGCTAACAGTGATAACGGAGTCATAACTAATCCCACTAATTGAAAACAAGACAAAATCCCATAGCGTCAGGTAAATGCAGGACTGGAGAAACCTTTGACTATAAAAGGAGAGGGAAGCTTCGTTAGTGATGAGCGCTAAAATAAAAATCCTAAGTTCCGGGCTAACTTTCACTCCCAATGTGCGTATACAAGACTTTAAAAATATGTATTCAGTTTGGACATGACTCCTGCGCTTAACTTTGCATCAACGTTTCTTGTGCCATGTTTAAAAAGGAGAAAATGCTCCAGAAACCATATAATTGTTGCCTCGGCCATTAAATAGTGTACATAAAAATGTTATTACCTTCCCCGTTTTGAGAATATGAATAGAAGCCTAATCAAACGGGCTGAAAATTCGACCGTGAGCGCCGCCTTTTGAACTCAGTAACCTAGCCGCGGACACGCATGACTATCCTTAACTGATTCCCAAAAAGCTGCTGTTCTAGACATAACAAAAAGTTATTGTTTGTTTCTAAATATCCGGACAGATAACCAAGAGTTGGTAAAAAGGGAGGAGAGACATTCTTCGTGTCAAAGGCCAGGTTGCTTAGCTAGATTCAAAATGACGGCATCCTTGCCAAATTTTAAGAAAATTACAAGAAAGTTTTTGACAAGTTGAATTACTCTTTGGGATCTCAAAGAACTACAGTTTTCATAAATTTCCTTTGCAGTCCTACATTTACTTTTATATTTTCTGAACAGGAAAAGGAAAGGACTGTTATGGCCAGGGATGTGGAGGATACCCTTACCCACAGCACCCACAGTACCCACAGCAGCCTTATCCCTATCCTCAGCAACCCCAGCAGCCATATCCCCAACCTTACCCCCCTCAGCAGCCCTACCCGTACCCCGCACCATATCCATCAAGCTCACCTTGTGGAACTCCCGGATGTACGAAATTTAAGAAAGGGAAGGAAGAAAGTTCGAAAGGAAAGAAAATTAGCGACGAAAAGAAGCATAAGGAAGCCAAGAAGAAGCACCATTAAATTGAATCGCAGAAATTCTTCGCAATTTGATAGTTTTTCTAGGAGAAATATCCTAAACTCACACGATGAGTTCCTCAACGAAATCGAACGTACAAAGGGGGCATGTTCCGAACATTTCCGTGTGTAGATTTTCTAAAGAGCTGAAAATAAATGCTTAAAATACTCTTGATACTGCACCAGATGTGTACATAGTTTGTTTTTCATTCGTGCAAATTGTTTATCCACTTATCGTGCTCAAGATGACTTTAATAACATTCATAACATTTAGCGAAACTTTCATTGGCTAATTAATGTTTACATATCCATCTGTTCTTTAGATGGGTGGGGGAATATGTTCACAGCTAGGGTATCTCTGACAAGTGACAAATGGGATTTTTCTTACCTTAAACTAACAGTTGCTGTCTGCGTCAAAGTGCGTTCATCAAGATTCAAAGCACTTAGGAAGTTTGGAGAGCACGAAAGCCGCGCAAGAGTTTCTCGAGGCGTGAAGAGCAACTATTGCTGCTTCAGTACGCAACATTACCTACCTGGGTAATTAACAATCATGCTCCATCATGTGCGTGCATGCTGGCATTGGAGTGCATCAAAGAGAACTTCTCTAACACAACATCTAAATTACCGCCTGGAAGTGTCAAAAAAAGCAATTGGCGCATGTGCGTCGTCTAAACACTTGCAAGTTTGGAGGGCACCCACCTTGAGTTGCTCTCGGTTACGCCTCGAGCCGAGCAACTCGTACACATTTTTCGAGCCACACAAACTTCCCACATGTTTCATATCTCAATAGACGTACGCTAGCGCGTGAACTTATTGTTGACTTACGTTCCTGGCGGAGAACTGAACACTGTTTTCTTTTTCGCCGACGGTGGCTTGCCTGAATGGGAAAATCCGTTAATGCATAACAACAGCTGGGAAAATAAGGCCCCTAAGACATTTGGTGCAAAGAGCAACATAGAAGCATAGTTTTAGCAACCATCAACTCCAAAACAGATGAATAAGTTAAATTCTTCGATTCAAATTCCCATTTTCCTCTTTTTCTTCAGCAGAGCAAGCGATCAATGAACCCAGGTAGACAGAGAAACGCTGTGGGCGCGATTAAAGTCACGTGATTGTTGACTCATACACATGATCGCGAGAATATTCAAAGTAAAATGAACCTGCGAATTACACCTTAAATATTCAGATAAAACCGTTCTTTGTGCTTCTTTTCTATTTAATATGTTAATTTTTCTATCTTTTAACGTGAGAAGGCCTCCACAAGCCTATTTTTTGGATACTTATCTGGTAGGGGTGTTGAGAGCAAATTAGATATTTGAATAAGACAAACACGAAAACTTTTGTGGGGGATAGAGGTTCAAATCAGACATGAAATCCCTTTGCGTAATAGCTTATTTCCAAATATCTGAAAAGGTTTCGTTGGTTGTCGATATTAAAGCGTAAGTCGTCGATAATACAGCATAAGTTATCAATTTTATAACGTACCCCGCTGTAGGTGGGAATTATATACGAGTCTAATTTGACTGTCAAAAGAGTTCCACCTTTCATCTTAAAGATGAACACCAAGGGTCGTTATTAAAAAGCTCCATTGTTAATTTAAAAAAAAAGAGCTAATTTATCGTCAGCCAATGAGCTTCAGATCGAACGCGATGGATCAATATTTTTATTCAAGTCTCAAACTCAAACCCTCATAAACAGCAGATGGTTTTTACACAAGCAGTCGGTAATGTAAATGCAAACCACGGCAAGACTACAACTCATATCTTCTGCGCTAAAACAGGCTTCTTTTCAACCGTCCTGAACACCGCACGGTGGTAACACAAATCGTCGTAAGACTACAAACTATTTCTTCAGGACTTGATCAAACTGCAAATCAATCATCATATACTCTCAATGCGGCAATCAAACCACCGCAAGATAAAGAACTAGGCTACAGCAAGCTGCGGGCCATTGGTACTGACACGTTGCGAGGACGAACAAATTGATCGCCATTCGGCAAAGGTTCTTCTCGTAAGTCATACATTAAGCCATGCATAGTACTAAAGCACATAAAAATTGCGCTAGAAAAGGACATACCTTTGAATGGAACGGATTTGTTTAGTAATACTTTTTCAGTTAACCTATTCTTAAAACGAAGATCGGTCTTAACAGATACGTGGTGGTTTAAAATTTTAAGTTGTGGAAAGCGAATCTCGTGAGAAAACCAGTCATTGCTGCTATGATGTAATAAGAGCACGGCATTATTTAACAGTACTATTTAGCATTTGGTGTCCCAGAACACAGAGTGTAGAGTTAGTTGAATTTTATTTGTTTCATCCAATTTTTTCTTGAAAAGTTTATTCTCGATAACGTTGCTGCGGAAAATTTGTAAGTCAGAATTTTTTTACTGAGAGATGGTAGCAGGTAGGTGACTGTTCTTCGATCTGAAAAAAGGAAAGTTTGATGTTCCAAATTATCGAACGAAACTGTCTCTGTATTTAGCGGGGTAGTTTTTGACTGCAAACGCTCTGATAAAATGTTTAAAAAATTGAATCCCTCCGGCGAAATCTAGAGAATTGTTGAAAGTTTTAGAGCAGATTTCACAAAATTTCCGCTCACAGAAAAAGCAGAAGACGAAAAACATTAAGTAAATAAAACAGATGTATAAATCGAAACATCAAAACCACCTATGTGGAAAAGTCAATAATCATAAGGTCAATTACAACGAACCATTTTTCGTCGCAAGACCTTTCGAAAAGTAGGAGCGCGAATGGAGGCGAAAAGAGCTCCTCCAATTATTTATCTGAAGAATTGTTTGGCTTGGAATCATAGCTTGAATGTTTAGACCCTAAATCGAGCTTAAAGCGACATAGATCGTGGTTCTTCTCTGACGATGACGTAACACTCTTTTCACATTACCTTGGAGACACGAAAAACTATTTGCTGTAATAATTACTAAATATCATGATCGTCATTTATGACTAAATTTCGCTGAAAATTTTCCTCCTCCGTGTCGCCCTAAAAAAAACGGTTTCCTCATTAATTGCTGTATTGGCTCTAGATTTCCTTCTCCACTTTACCCCATCGAAGCAGGTGCAAACAATGTTTAGTCTGATACAATGAAATATATGAACCATTTTTCGTTGTTTCATTGTATCTGACTTATCACTTTCACGGGTTTATTACGAATAAACTTAACGGCCTGCTCCCAGTTGGCTTGTTAGCTCAATTGGTAGAGCGCTGCACTAGTATCGCAGAGGTCAGTGGTTCGAATCCCGTACAGGTCTGGCTTTTCTCAGGTCTGATTTTCGCTATTGCTTAAATAGCGTTATCTACTGCGAGGATCATGCATCATATGTAATGTTTAGTCTGAGGAAAAATTTTACGGAATTCATTTTACGCTAAGTACTTTCTCAAAAACCAGAATACTTGGAGTAAAATCTATACACACGAGGAAAAGAAAACATCATTTACATACTTTTATCCAGTGTGTTTATATTGCGAAAAGCTATTTAAGTATCCATCTCTGATCTGGACCTTACCACAAATAACGCCGGTTTAACTGACACATTGGGCTAAAAAAAAAATGGCGCACAATGGCAAATTTGTATACCCCATTCAACCCCGGTCTTTGGAGCTATTTGATATACAAAGCGAATGTCAACAGGAGCTTAGCTTATATATGGCCAGTCCAGTTGGAGAAGCGTAACGGCCGATGAAAAACTATAGCAGAAATTTCAAATCGTCTGAAATTCTCATATGAATTTCACCTGCTTATATCAAGCTCGGTTTTAATCATTAGAACTGAATCAGTTTTGTAACTGACGTGAAAAATATGATCGATAATTCGTAGTGTTTTGCGTTTTGTTAGAATGAAAAAAGACCGCCTCAGCTATTTATGCTTTTTGAAAATTAACTCAGAGGAATTTAAGTAGGTTGTGTTTGCAAGATTACTACACTCTCAGGATTAGTGTTCGTAAATATGCTTCGAATATGCTGCACGGTAAAGCTTGTTTTTTAATCAGAGAGACTGAGACCCCCTTAAAAGAATTATGCTGTTTGAAAATGAAATTTCCTACAAGTGAAAGTTTGTATACATTTACATAATGGCCTCAATATAAACTGAAAGAAAAATATCGGCAACACATTTTGCTTTCGTATTAGAGTGAAAAGTGCCCGCTTCGATTATTAATGCCTTTTGAAAATGGGACTTCCTCTTAATTAGTGGACTTTGCTGAGCTTTGGGCTCGTAAGACGCGAACACAAAGGTTTTGTACAAGCTGAGCAGATGAAAAGAGATCCGGAAAACTGGCACTTAAGCACTTAACGGCTGACAAATGGAACTGGTTTCGATGGCTTATTTTAGGCTGAAATTAAGTCCTAGCTCGACCTTGACCTCCATAACAAGCAAGCAAACTTTTTAGTCTAGGGAAGCGCCGAGCCTTGGGAGGTATAAAGACTGAATATATCAAAGAATGCATAAGGTCGAAAAGTATAAACTTTTAGCTCTGTCGCCAAATATCTGAAAAGGTTTNAAGACATGATCTATCAGGCACAACAGCAAAGTGTAACACCACTGGGCTTTTATTTTTCACTTCATTCTTAAACATATGATTTGAAATTCACATGATTTGAAGTACAGTAAACACCCGCATATAAGAACACATGGGGCGTTTAATATAAGTCGCATATTGAAACAACAAAAGGTCAAAGTAGCCTACAAACCACAACAAACAATCAACAGCCTTTTTCCACACCCCAAGGAGCTAGACGAACCTGACCGCCAGAAGTCAGGCATGGTGTACAAAATCAATTGCACACAGTGTAATTTTAAGTACTATGGCCAAACAGAAAGATCATTAATGACCAGAATTGCGGGGCACAAAAAGGCAGTTGCAGGTTTTGACTTAAACTCCAAAGTCGCAAGCCATGTCCACCTTTTCGACCATAACAGGGATTTCACAAACGTCAGGGTCGTTGGTTTCGAAACTAATTACCACGAGAGACTTTTCCTTGAAGCCTGGCACTCTACTTTGGATCCGAATGCGGGGAACGATCATATCGTATTTCCAGAAGCCTAAAAAGACCTCGTGCGAACATCAAATACATAGTTACGCGCGCAAGCTTCGCGTCACGTTTTTAACTTTAAATGGCGTATGATAACGATCTTTGTTTTTCATATCACTGTTGAAGGCTTAAGCATTAGCCGAAACGTCTGTTCAAAAAATAACAACAGTCAGAGGCAACCAATTTCAATAAGACTCATGACATCTCCTGACTACACTTTTCCATTTTTTAATCCCGGTATAATTAAAAAGTAATTTTGATTTCGATTGATCGAGAAACCCTAAATGAGCTACAATCTTTTTCCAAATTATTTCGTTGAAATTATTTTTTATGCTTATGCTCCCACTCGTTAATAATATACCCGATGTTTATTTGATAATATGACTAAAAAAATTTCGATAATATTACGACTAAGTTGAAAATATTCCAGACTGACTTGATCAAACTTTGGGAAATCAACAGATGATCGCAAAAGAGTATTATTCATTTTTCAATTCTAGGATAATATTTGTTCCCCGAACAAACATAGCATTTCCCTTTGTCCATTTGTGGCAAAAATTTAAACACTTCGCGTTTCAGTGTGTAAATACATGACTCTCTACAAAAGACACGTGTGTTTACGTACAACGTCTGAAGAAACTATTTTTGCGATAAACGTATCGGAAGGTTGAACACGATGACGCAGAACTGATAAAGCGAATTTTATCAAGAGGGTAAGTTTCTAAAGAAAATGTAGTACTGCGTCAGCTGGGATTATTACAAGATAATTTGGTTTTATCAGCGGAGTTGATAATGTGGATTGACCTCCGTAAAGAGATTCTAAGGCTGAGATTTTGAGCGTTAGCCTTCGTCGAAGGGCTAACGCTCGAAGCGTCAGCTTCAACATTTTGTCTCAGCGTCTTTTCAATTTGGAGTCACTGATGGTTAAAATCGGCAAAAATTTAAAGAAAAACAAGATTAACATGCATGAAGAACAAAATTAAAAAACATGCTTTGGTAGATGCTTCAGCTATCGTCCCACTGAGATGAACATAAAGAACAATAGAATGTTGAGAGCCAGAAAATATTGATAAAGGTGGACGAAACACTGATCATATTTATGTTCTTAAAATGTCTGATTTTGAAATAATTGAAGATGCGCGCACATTGACGTCCATCTCTCGTTTGCAGTTTCCTTGCGCGGGTTAGGAGATTTTTATTTGTGCAATCTGCTCTGAAGAATGCAAAACAAAAATAAAGCTGTCGGTATTCATGATGATCAGGAGAAAAATGGTTGCTCCACGTTTTCCGTTTGGTTTCCTAATTACAGAGAGGGCACAAAAAATATATCCGTGTTCGATTCAGTTATAAATTTGATCCTCAATCTGTTTCTGAGAGCGAACGTTTAATTTCCACGCAAAAACCCGAAAATCTATTCTCAGCAACTCAGTGAGAATAGATTTTCTCGAACCCAGTTTCTCTCATCTCAAAATCTACTGGCTCCCTCTGGCTCCCTCTGGCTCCCTCTGGCTCCCTCCGGCTCCCAGCTCTTCTCGCCTTGAGCTCTTGTCGCCCCAAGCTCCCCTCACCTGCATGTCCAACAAAATAGGCTATCAAGAAAGAGGCTAAATGTGAAAGTACAAGTAAATTATTGTTAAAAAAATTAACCTAATTTCCATGAAACTTTTTTAATTTTGAATTTTTTAATTTCAGATACACACACTTCAAGTAACTTTTTTCTCTTCAAAACAGACTCAATTCAAGACACCTTGATTAATTTGAAACTTTTTCACGCGGATTATCAGCTGCCATGAAGAAAACGAGTCAAGTAAAACCGATCTTCGACTTGAGAATGGAAGAGAAAATAACAACACCGAAAAGTATCACTAGAACTACAAGAAGAGTACGCATGGCGATTATGGTTGTAATGTGCTTGATCGGTATGACTGGTTTGACAGTTCTTACGATACTAGACGCTTTGAAAGCCAATCAGGTGACCGCTCAAACCAAGGCACTGCAAGCTAGCGTAACCCTGAGCATCGAAGTCGCGGAGCTCATTCACAAACTGCAAATTGAACGAGGAACACGAGTCTTGCACTTCAGTTCAGATGCAGATAAAGGACTATGGCCAGATGTGTTACAAGTAGCAAATAAGACTGATGAGGTGGCGGAAAATCTCGCCAGCTGGCCACAAGATCATCTTGAAACGTATCATTTTAACAGCCTGGAGACATTTATGGCGCTGATAAATAACCATCGCAGGTCTCACCCTCCCGGCAATAGTTCAATCGTAGAGGAAATCTCGTTTTATACGCAGACAATTTCGAACTTGTTTGATTGGTCTTTCCGCAACGTCCAGCAATCAGACCAAGACATCCTGTCAGACTACATCGGTTATCAAATGCTCCTAATTGGCAAAGAGAAAACTGGCATTGAGCGCGCTCTGGGAGGTTCATATTTCAGTCGAGGATTTTTTCGGAATACAAGTGATTTACTTTGGTATGCAGAGCAAAATCATGTGGGACGAGAGAAGTTACACACGAGTATGCAACTCATGCCGGAGATTGAAGCTATTTACAATAAAACCGTTGAAGCTTCTAACAAGACGGTTTTGGTTACCGTGGAGAAAAAAAGAAAAGTTATCTTGGGCAATAAAAAGCAAAACGCGTCAGTCGAGTTGGGAGTGGAGTGGTTTCATCTCATGACTGTTTACATAAATGCATTACTTCAAGTTCAAAAGGAGGTCGGGAAATTGATCCTTGACAAACTTGCGGAGGATGTAAGCTTGGCAGAGACGGACTCGATTCTAAAGTTTTCCGTGTTTGGCTTTGTTCTGTTGCTTATGCCCTGCTTTGTGTTCATTGTTTACACGATCCAGAGATACGCAAGCAAACTTCATCAAACAACGAAACAGCTGAAGGAAGAAAAACATAGGGCGGATTGTCTTCTTTACCAAATGCTGCCGTATCCTGTCGCCGAACAGCTCAAGGGCGGGCAGACTGTCACAGCAGAGCAGTTTGAAAGCGTCACTGTCTTTTTTAGTGATATCGTGGACTTTACGCAAATCTGCGCCACTATTTCACCAATGGAGGTCACACAGATGTTGAATCAACTTTATGGAATCTTTGACAACCACATCGACAAATACGACGTCTATAAAGTGGAGACCATCGGTGACGCTTATATGGTCGTATCAGGCTTACCAGAGAAAAATGGCCACAATCACGTCACTGAGGTAGCCCTGATGGCGCTTCATCTGGTGGAGCTCATGAAAAGTGTTCATTTTGGCTCCGATGACGGAAGAGATCTCAGCGTAAGAATCGGAATACACACGGGTAAGTTTTTTTAGGTGCTTTCTTGGATTTCTGGAGATCATTTTGTAAGCATCACAGTTCCTTCGACCTTATTCTTGATTTTTTTTCTTTTTTTCTTTTCTTTTTTTTTTTTTTTTCACGTTTTCCCACAATTCGTAAATAATTCTAACCACCAAAATTTAATAATGAGTGGCGTTTCAATTTGACTTAAATTTTACTAGCTTTAATTTTTATTGGATGGTTTGCTTTCATTCGTTTGTTCGTTCTTCTATTCTTTCATGGGTCTGTACTAAATTGAAAAGGGAGACAAAATAACTATTCTTTGCGATTGTTTATTTTTTATCTCTGTTTACTTCTTTACTCATTTCCAGGCCCTTGCGCGGCAGGAGTTGTAGGGAACAAAATGCCGCGCTATTGTTTGTTTGGCGACACTGTAAACACCGCCTCCAGAATGCAGACAACTGGATTGCGTAAGTTTTGTTCCATCAATTTTATTAATATGAAAAAATGGACAATTACCATTTTGAAAAAAGGAAGTGCCCCGGGTTCAGTTCAATTCAGTTCGGCCTGATTTGGTGATAGGTCCATGTGAAAACCAAATGAACTCTTGGAAATGAAGCTTGACGAACATGCTAGTTAGAGTCGTTTATTTTGAGTAAGGTGTTGGTATATGTCCTTGCTTTGAGGGATTTTCGTTAAGTTCTCCTAATTGTGTCTCTCCACAAGAACACAGTAAACGAAAGGATTCTCCGTTGAAGAATTTCTAAGATATCAAACTTCTTTGTTCATTTGTTTGTTTGCTTGTTGTGTATCTATTTATTGTTATAAAAAAATTTTTCAGAGATTATCAATTATTTCAACCAAAACACTTCGCATTTCAGCTCAGAAAATCCATGTGAGTAAAGATACAAAGGATATGCTGGAATCTACCGATGGTTATCATCTGGAATTCAGAGGATTAGTTGACGTCAAAGTATGACATTTTTGTCATTTCTGACGTCATTTTTGTCATTTCTGTATAAGGTCAAGAGAAGAGTAAGACCTGAGACTGAGTACCCTATGATAGAGTACAATCAATTTAGTTAACTTTGTTGAGAGGAAAAAAACTTTAAGATAACAAGTAACGAAATATATAGTACTTTGTTTGCTTATTTTCACAAAATTACGTAATTAAATTACTGGTGCGTCTCTAACCAGTCTTTCCGGTTCGCATGTCTGACGCATGAGCGACCTTCCCAATGGATTGGATGCTAGTCTATCGCAGCATTTCATTGCACTTCCCTGACAATTCACGGGTACCCCACCGGTACTCCATCGGTACCCCATCGTTACCCCACCGGTACCCCTTTATTCTTCAGGGTGAAGAGAGGCTCTGTGAAGAGAGGCTCTGTGAAGAGAGGCTCACCTGAAGTATAAAGGCTGATAGTTTCTAAAGAAACTGTTTGGGGCTGCGTCGGTAGGGGTAACGAAATAATTGGATATATCAAAAAAGTTGAAATGGTAAATTGGCCACCGTAACGATTACAAAAGCTGACGTTTCGAACGTTAGCCCTTCGTCGGAGCGAATAGAGGAAGATGAAGGCTGGTTTGGCCAGCCGAAATATAGTGCTCCGTTTTAAAATTTATCTACGTTGTATCGGTCTTGCCTCTATATTTATATTCATTATTTTAGGCCGATTAGATCACTGCTGATCCAACGTACAAGAGTAGGATTATCGTCCACGGTTGCTTGCTGAACATTTCTCTGTGAGTGTAAATTATTTTTTCCAAGAACACAGCAGATTGAGCCAACCAGGTCTCAAACCCAGACCGCTCTACCCGGCCAGGTCTCGAACCCAGACCACTCGACCCGGCGTCCAGCGCACCTATCACTATTATTCTAGTTAAGAAAAAATCTCTCTACAGAAGACAGATATTTACCCTTCTAGTTTTGTGTAAAAAGCTATTGTAATACCCAGAGTAAAATGTTTTTTTTATCCCCCTTTCAGGGCAAGGGTGCAATGGAAACCTACTGGCTTTTAGATAATACGCCTCCATGTGTTTCGCAAACGTATGAGAGACCAGATATGGCAAGTATTAGTAGGTATCAAGTCGAAATCTGAGCTTGGCTTTACGCTTGCACAGGGCCCTTCTCCGATATACAAGCTGGAAGTCAAGTAGACAGCGTTTACACTCACTCACGTGACAGGCAATCAAGAGTAGTAATCAAAGGGGTTAGGGTTAGGGTTAAGGGTTAGGGTTTAAGGGTTAGGGTTGGGTTAGGGTTAAGGGGGGTTAGGGTTAGGGTTACTTTCACTAGGGGTTCCCTTAATTTTAAAGGTGTCTTTGTTTGATTTCTTTTTATACTTTATTTACCAGATTCGAAATAACGTTACAGAATAGAAATGAAGAAGTTATTTACTGATTAAAAAAAAAAAATAAGGAAATAGATTGTAAACTGATCGCAGATACTGCTGGTCAGTTACGAATTCTGAGCCTGTCAGGAAGAAATACCGGGCCGAGTTGTTTAAACTACACTCTACTTGAACTAGGGTTTAGTGTAAAATATTTAAATGAGTTTTATAGCTATACCGTGAAACAGATCAACTGTTAATATTTTGTATCATCTTTGTTTAATTAATTCAGTAATAAAACCAGAGATAGTTTTTTAAACAAAAGGAACCGGATTATGTTCTTACTTCTTAAAATCTTGAAGTAGTCCTCACCGGCTTTAAAGCGACTAGAACCTCTAAACAAAAACCTTTTAGCCACATATGAGTAGTTGCACCAAGTGATTGTTTCAAAGTTTCACAGGCTTAACCAACTCTCTTAAATGACCTTCACTCCCAGATTGATCGATTGATGATTTCACTCCATAATATTAAAGTATCAGACCTTAAATTATATGAAATGCGAGACGAGCCATAACGAGAAAATTCATACTGAAAAATTGGGAGTGAGGGGGAAATAATGATAATCATTCGAAGTCGTCAGTGACATTAGTGACTTAAAAACTGTTCGTGCCATTTTACTGACAAGTTATTAAATCTTCTAGATTTCTTTAAATTTACTGAGAATTAAAAGCTTAGCTTCAATTTGTAACAATAAAAATTTTATGTTATACACAGTGTGGCTATTGTTCAGTTTAGTTCTACATATTAACTGTTACCCTCACGATACAGAACCAGAATCTTTCCAAAAATATTCTCTTAGTGAAAAGATTCAACGCTATCTCTCAAACATTGACTAAAAGTCAAATTAGCGACTGTGAAAACCTAACTTTTAGAGACCGTTCAGTGCTAAACTGCTTGTCCTACATCAGTAAGAAAAACTGAAACCTTACGGAAATTCTCAACGAAGGTCACCGAAATGTGAATGTTATCAAACGTATGAAACTTCCTTCCAATCAAAATCACTTTTAAACTCGATAAAACCAAGACACAAAAATTAACTGCGATTTGAGGGAAATAAATTTTTATTGAACGGAGTTAAGTCTCGTATATGTGCACGATCCTTCGCAGTAAAGCACTATTTGAGCAATAGTGAAAATCAGACCTGAAAAAAAAAAAA